TGATGACTTTTGTGCTACCTGAGACCACAGAACATCACTATCACCAAAAGATATTCAATTCATACAGGGTTATATACTAACAACTACGAAATGATACAAAATGCTAAAACACCTGTACCCTTATGATAAGGTTTTCACATATTTTCTTGCATTCATGATAAATAATGCATACATATTCTAAAAGGTAATTGATTAAACTATGTAGAACTGAAGTCAGAATGAAAAAAGCTCCTCTGGTTGCAAAGTTATTGCGAAATACCCCAAAAACCTTGAGAGGGTACAAAAAAAAGACCAATTAAGGTTTAACTTGCTCTATATGAGATAGGTAAAGGTGATGGGGTTCAGATGAGCAAATAACATCTTCTGCTGATATTAAACAATCTAGCTGCTTATCCTTGAACATTTGAAATCAAAAATCATAACAGTAACAATAACAATAAGTGTTAAAGCTGATTGAGATGGAATTCCTGCCAAAAGAATACTAAGTGCTTCAAAAAGAGTCAGTGATAATAGGCAGTCAAAAAGAATATGCTCTTTTAAATAGCCTGAACTGTAAATTTTTTATGGTAGGGATGAGGGGCATTAGACATTGTTTCCCATTCACGTTGGATTATGGTATTGGATAGTTGGGGTTTGTTTTCCTTATGACTGGTCTACTCTTAAATTTCTTCTTTTTTCTGCTGGGTTCTGGAACAATTGGTCCTTTCTCTTTGACACTTTATAGGGTTATACAGAATGGAGAACTTGATAAGAAATATGAGACCAAAAAATGACCTCAATAACAGTCGTAAAATTATCATTCATAAAATTATCATTCAAGGGTGTGACTGCTCGTTTAACAAATATTTGGAGACTTTTGACTAGTGATGTGAAGATATTCACAGGTGACACAGCACATAGTAACAGGAGAGAAAAGCCAGCATAATTGCATCCAAGGTGTGTTATTATCACTTTAGATTATTATCCCATCGAACGAAGTTCAGGGGGATATAGGGAACGCCTCCGTCCGTCCGTCCGTCCGTCCGTACGTACGTCCGTCCGTCCGTACGTACGTCCGTCTGTCCGTCCGTCCGTGCAATAACTCAAATACCGTTGGCCCGATTTTGTTCATATTTTGTACACATATACCCTATGGGGGTAGAAGTTCTGCTCGAAAGCCGATTTTCAAAATGGCCACTCATTTCAAAATGGCGGCCATTTTAGTGCCGATTTTACAGTAATTTAGGTGCAATAAGTAAAACTGTAATAGCAATATGTTTTAAATGTAAAAAATTATAAAGGACATTAATAATGCTACAAATGTAGATATTAAAGAAGCACATGGCAGCCATCTTAAAAAATGGCGACCTTTACTCGTCATTTTACGATTTTTGCTGTAACTCAAAAAATAGTGGAGCGATTTTGTTCATATTTGGTATGTGAATACTATAAGCATTGCACACTGTCTAAAGACACTTTTCGTAGAAGGCGGCCATTTTGAAAAATGGCCGCCATTTTGAAAAATGGCCGCCATTTTAACGTATTTTACTATAACTCGAAAAGTCGTGGAGCGATTTTGTTCATATTTGGTATGTGACTACTATAAGCATGGCACACTGTCCTATGACACTTTTGGTAGAAGGCGGCCATTTTGAAAAAAAATTTGAAAATGGCCGCCATTTTAATGTATTTTACTATAACTCGAAACTCGAAAGTCGTGGAGCGATTTTGTTCATATTTGGTATGTGACTACTATGAGCATGGCACACTGTCCTATGACACTTTTGGTAGAAGGCGGCCATTTTGAAAAGAATTTTGAAAAATGGCTGCCTTTTTAACATATTTTACTATAACTCGAAAAGTAGTAGAGCGATTTTGTTCATATTTGATATGTGAATACTTTAAGCATGGCATATTGTCTAATAAAACTTTGGGGAGTAGTCGGCCATTTTGAAAAATGGCCACCATTTTTATGTGTGTTATTTTACAAGTATGTGTGCGATTTTTCAAAAAATTTAGAGGTGGCTACTTAAAAGCATATTATTTCTTCTGATGATAACTTGGCTAGTGAGCAACCATTTTAAAAATGGTGGCCTTTCTGGTGTGTTGTTTTATGATATTTGCTATTCATCTGTAAAAATGCCAGCCATTTCTGTTCGATGGGATTCGCTACGCTTTGGCGTTGCCGTTGTTCTGGTTCTAGTATGTAATCCCATTGCCTGAATAAACAAAACAAAATGTAAATGATAATTCCAATGAATCCCAGTATGATTATATAAGGTAAACATCAAATCAATAGCTTCTATTAATAGAGGATCAAAAATTAATTGGTTCTGTGAAGATTTTCATGGGTGACACACCCCACATTCATACCATTTGGTCATTTGAAGTAGTCCTATTTAGCAATCAAAAATCAGGACACAACTTAGATCTAAGCACCATTATCAGAAAAAAGTCAGGCCATCCCCCCCAACTAGCTATATCCAATGCTTTTATACTTATCCCTCAAAACCAAGAGTGGAGTTTGAGACAGGAAAGTTGCAAACACACCATCAACATATTTCGCCTGAGATTTGTCTGCTTTTCAGTCCTTTCCGCACCTGTTTTTTAATGTTTGTTTCATCAATATGTTGCGTTTTGGGACTCAGTTATCCTCTTAAAAGAAAAAATGCATTCAATCAGGGGTTTTAAAGATGTCAATTGTGGGTGACCAAAATTAAGCTGAAAACAATGGATTGCATGAGTTTTCCCTATGGGATATGGGAAAATACCATGGGAAATATTGTTTTCCACTTTATCCCAAAGGAATGCATTTTTCCTTTAAAGAGTTAACACTGTCTCAAAACATAACATACAGGGTGTCCCGAAAGTATCCCCCCTAGGCAGACATATTCCATTGTCTTCATGTATCATATCATTTATCCAAAGTTACATTGATTCAGCAAGTATCATGGTTCAACTCTCAAATGTGACAAAATTACAGGCATTTCAATTTTTAGTGTTTGGCCAAAATTCAATTCAATTGAACACCAAATCACTAGTCAATGTGTCCTCCAGGGCCATCTTAACAGCAGCAATTCTTTTCGGGTTGGATGGATATTGAGTTGGAAAAAGAGACGGTGAGGGTTGATACTCCAAGGAAACTCTTCAAAAGTGCCTTAAAAGATTTTAAGAGGATTGCAAAATTCCACACCCTGTAGAGCTTTTATGGTCCTATCTGAAAAGAATTGCTGCTGATAACATGACCAAGGGAGGACTCATTGACTTGTAATGGGGTGTGAAATTGAACTTTATTTTGGCCAAACACTAAATTTTAAAATGACTGTCACTTTTTCCCATTTGAGAGTTGAATCATAATTCTTGGCAATTCAATGTAACTTTGGATGAGCTTTAAAATGATATATGACATACTATGATGACACTGGTATATGTCTGCCTAGGGGGGGGGGGCAAACTTTTAGGATAACCTGTAAAATGATACATCAAACATTGAAAAAACATGTTGGTGGGATGTTTGCACCTTCCCTGTCTCAAGTTCAAATCTTTTTATCATCTCTATGAGTGCTTATCCTGGAGTTAATGCATTGGTCTAACATATGCTCCTGTTTAAAACCTCAGAAATAGCCCAAATCCAACTTTTGAATGTCTGAAGCCTGTTGTGATACTTTCTGTGTGTTTTTCTAATTCATCTATGCAATTGCATATTCTTTTATATGGATGACAATATTTTAGTGAAACTTTAGTATTTAGTCAATAATTCTTCTAATGTAATATGATGTATAAGCTAAAACTATTGCTCTTTTGTCAAGTGAACCATTAGACAGTTCTCAACATAATGTCAAACTCAGACTCAGAAATGTTAAAATGTGCCGAATCAGCACTTTTGAAAGTGATTCATAAAATATCAACAATCAAATTTTGCATGTCCTGAGGTACCCTACATGGATCTTAAGTCAATTTGAATATTGATGATATGCTTAGATATATGACTTGCTAGATTTTATCAATTTTCAATGGTACCCCTTTCAATCCTGGAAGAAGCACCAGTGTGCTAAAGAATTTTTTATTCTATTCATACTTAATATTTTTTATCATGATTTTGCATGGGTATTAGGAATAGCCTCCAAATCATCTGTGATTTTTTACAGTAAAAAATATCAAGGAATTAAAAAAATGTTGATTCTTTTAGAAAGCGTTTGTCTATTAGACATTTCAAAATATTGGTTGTCAAAGGGTTAAAAAGAGACTTTTAAGTTAAATTCAGCTCAAATATTTTTTTTGAGTGTGACGTATTCTTTGTAATCATCAAATTTATCATAAAATTGCCTAATATCTAAAAATTTGGATAGCTATGATTTTTTTCATTTTTGACCCCCTCCCCGAAAATGGCTGAGGGGTATAACATGACATTTTTCCAAAATGAGGCTTGTACATCTTCGTACAGGCAACTAAAATTGCTTGAAATACCATACAGAACCACCCCACAAAGTTTCACGATTTGTTCCATCAAAAATTATAAGAAACATGAATTCCGTGTACTACCATTACAATGTAATTTCACCAGCACACTGTTATATGTACTTTTATAATAAATCATTAGACTTCAATTACAGCATTTAAAAAGAACAGCTGTTCATTATTTTTATAATTTATTGCTTCACAATTGTTTTTTAAAAGTAATCGACTGAGAATACTCAAGCAAAATGGCAAGAAACTATGTCTATTTGTATAGTATCACTTGGCTTTCTGATGGTTCTGTTATATAGCACAGTAAAATCGACTAAAATGTATGTCCTTGAAGTTGGAACCAACTGATATATGTTAACATCGAGAGACATATGTCAACATTAAGAAACATATGTTAACATTAAGAGACACTCACATTTCAACTTATCACAGCTTATTTCATTAGAAACTGAACTTGAAATGGTTCATAATTTGAGACTTATAAGTATTGTGTTCACATACATGTTAACAGGTTTTACTGTATCAAGACCATTTGCCATTATTATTTATATTCATTTAATATAAATTATTTTTCATAGAATATATAATAGATTACACATATATTATCTTTACGCTTCTTGAGCATGAACTTTAGAGATATAGCAATAATATTTTTTATCCCCTTATTCACAAACAACCAAGAGGCAAGTAAACATTATCGTCCTTTGTTAAATGTTATCGTAAGTTTAACTTAAAGACAGATGATAATATTCATGCGATTTACGTAAAAAAGTGATATGTCGATATATCCTTATTTTCACTTAGACTTATAAATCACCAATTTTTGTAGTCATATATCAAGGGACTTATAACTAATGCACTTGACATGAGCACTTTTCAAATTAGCAAGGTCATATGTTGAAGATACAAATGCAAGGTTATCATGAGCAGTATGAAGTCTTGTGATATTTGTTAGAGGCGACGCTTCCTGTTTTTTAATTGGTTTTTTGATTGCTTTACAATTGCACATTTGATGCAATCGTCTTCGAAAAGTTGGATGAAAGATACAATAAAGATAGAAATTGACCGTTGAGTTGAAAACTAAAAGACTTTCCTTGATGCCCAAAAATGGAATCAAAATGTTGTCTGGGACATAGAATTCATTGTTGCTTCCAATAATTGCTGATATAAAGTCTGGTGTTTGACAAATGATTACAACTGTAATCATGATGACAAGGTTTAAGGTGATGTTTGTGTTATGATTTGAATGCCTTCCAGCTGTCCCTGTCTGCCCCACAGCTGTCCTGGCTTGACTCACAGCTATCCCTGTCTGCCTTACAGCTGTCCCTGTCTGCCTTACAGCTGTTACTGTTTGACTCACATCTGTCCCTGTTTGTCTCACAGCTGTCCCTGTATCATGCACCATGCATGTCAATGTGCGTTGTAATTTCTTTGATTTTTTAATTTCATGCACCAGTTTTATATTCAGGATAATCATTGTTATAATAGGGATTGAAAATAGAAATATAAATGCCAGAATAATATGGTAGATGAACCTGTAAAGGTCTTCATTCCAGCCATTCAAAGTGACTTCCCCTGAAAGATGAGACACAAATGTGGCATTTGGTAATCCGCCTGAATTAAATGCTACATATTGATAATGGATCCATCTAGGAATGTTAAATAACACGGCTATTACAGATATCACCACCACAGTTCGCTTAGCGTTGGTATTTGTGCACATTCTATAGGCCTTAAAAGGTCTTGAAACAATTATAAATCGATCAACCGTGACAGCTGTAGCCATCCAAATAGTGCCAGTCTGTGCTGTCCAACCTACTGGTAAAACATAGGCTATGATATAAGCACCCAAATCATAATACGACTTTAACGATCCTGTGTATGGATACACTGATCTCAATACTGTGTACAGTAAAGTATAGATTAGAAACACAATATCAAAAACTGCCAATGCTTGTAATATAATACAGTTTGAGTTCCGTTTTGATTTTTGGAGCACTATTATAATTAATATATTCCCGATAAATCCGAACAGGCAAAATAATCCATTAATGTAGACATTGAGAATGTAATTGAATAAAGCATAGTCGTTTGTTGGAGTTGTCGCAAATGTTGTATTTAATGACTCCATTGTAGGTGTCAGATATGACATATTTGATGTCATCATTAATGTTGATGTCAGATCCGTGTTATTTGATGTCAACATACCTGGCTCAAGCAATAGCTAAAATCCCTCAATGTTCCCAAGATCAATGTAAATCCAGATTAATTATTATTTTCTGTTATACTCTGTAATTGCGACAGGCTTTAATAGCTATTAATGTCAGATCTGAGATTCTCCGAAGTTTCACTAAGTATTATTGGCAGAGTGGCTAGTTGTAATTGTTTCAAAGGATTTCCTATATTTCACTCTCTATCACAAATCAACCTCTCCTCAATTAGTGAAGATGGATAGATTCGAAGCAGCTCTAGGTATTTTCATTTGTTCTTGGAAATGTTATCATATCTTCCCCTCTGGCTTCATTATACTGCATGCATGTTTCACTCTTATTCCCTTGTCTATTGAATAATGTGAAATTATTTTGTCATTTGACCAGTGGCATCCTATTATCTTTCATCATAAATAATTTTGTGCAATCTTGAAAATAATAAATTTAGTTAATTATCACACTGCTCTTTGTGAGCATAATTGTATCATTATGTGAGTTCTGGTCAAGATACTTAACGCGCCTTTAAGTCTTTTTACAGCAAAAAGTAAAAGTACATACAAGCTATCATCATCACCTGACAATTATTTACAATTATATAAATTGCAATGCAATATAACTCCAAAATGTCAAAACTCCCTACAATTATTTGTTCAGTATGTTGTTCATTTATTACAAGGTTAATTAATATTTTTAGCCAAATAAGCATTGCTTTTTATGTTCATGTAGAGTATAGATATGGCCGTGAGAGTCGTACATGTAAAATTATTAATATAAAATTAATATAAATAAATATTGAGCCAATTAACACAAAACACAATACCTTGGAAAATAATGGCTAATTTAAGTTAATTAGCTACAAGAGTTTACACTTTGACATAACTGTTAATTAGCTCAATTGGATATATTATAATACCATCTCCAACTCATCTTCTTGGGCGAAAATAAATCTCCAACTGGTGGTGTAAGCTGGGGAAGGAGGTGAGGGAAAAGAATCGAAATGTATAACTTACATTGATGTTAATGGATTTTGTACGCACCTAGGGAGAAAACCCTCCAACTACAATCCTATCGATATCTCGTCTGAAGTCTCATCTCGTACTCTCGAGATCTGAAGCTTGATGTTTCGTTCAGTGTAACTTACCAGAAACATTTACCTGGGATAACCGGGGAATGGTCTTCTTAGGGCTTGTTCATACCTAAACCTTAACCGACTCTCACATTGCCATAAATGAAATTATTGTCAATAATTTGAATATATCATCAATTAACTGTTGTTGGCAGGTCTCCAGCATTCCTATACTTTAAATGTATCTTAACAGTACCTTTTGTACTTCTTTTTGTCTATTTTAAGTTCTCCAACATTCTTATACTTTCACTGTTTCTTAACAGAACCATTTGTACTTCTTTTTGTCTATTTTAGGTTCTCCAACGTTCTGTTACTTTCACTGTTTCTTAACAGAACCTTTTGTACTTCTTTTTGTCTATTTTAAGTTCTCCAACATTCTTATACTTTCACTGTTTCATAACAGAACCTTTTGTACCTCTTTTTGTCTATTTTAAGTTTTCCAGCATTCCTATACTTTAAATGTATCTTAGCAGTACCTTTCGTACTTCTTTTTGTCTATTTTAAGTTCTCCAACGTTCTTATACTTTCACTGTTTCTTAACAGAACCTTTTGTACTACTTTTTGTCTTTTTTAAGTTCTTCAATTGATTTTTATACTCTGAGTGTGATTATCTCGGCTATCTTAAAGCTGACCACATGCAATATCCTGTAATTGACTTAATGTATTTAAATCCACTACTCATAATGGTGAAACCCTGGTATATTTCCAATATGCATGTTGAGTGACACATCAAGGTCTTATAATCCCAAATGTAATTAACTGGGTTCTGTGTTATAGTCTAAATCCTCTTGTGATTTGTTCATTTTGGCTGTAAATAGACCAGGTTTGTCATTGGCAAAATATTTACATAAATATACACGTAAATCATTCATTGTGTAAGAGTTCTGTTGTTACCCTGTGTGTACTATGAGCCTCTTAATGTAAACTAAGTTCAGCTTATAAAATATATTATAAATCAAATTCAAATTTCTGTCAATATAATGTAACCACTCGCAATAACCATATACATGTACATGTAAAATATAACCATACATAATTACATATTTGCTGGAACTCCACCTTATAATCAACTGGGATTCACCTGATATGTGAACACACACTGACACACATTAGTTGAGCTATTCATAAACCTTAGGAAGGGATATAAATGAAATGAAATATATTTTGGACAAAGAATAAATGGATATTTCCACATGTTGAATCTTCAGTCCATATTTGGTCAGATATATATGATTTTTTCAGATAGTGAAATAAAGATTGCGAGGGACAAGAAACAAATGAATGCGCTTTTTGAAAAGGCTGTTTCCAACATTTTACAATCTTTTCTCATTTCCACTTTAACATTGATTTTTTTTACTTAAGACCAAGCTAACAATAAAGTTGTTACATTGGGTTTACAAGGGGGAGGGAAGGAGTTAGTTGGAACATAATAGTTTTCCCAGATTTTATCTTCTATTGATTTTGTGATGTAATTCATAATTTAGCTCATTGAATGACTGAGGATTTTGTATGGGCCAGTTGACTTAATTGCTTTCAAAAACGGTAGGAATTTGAACTTTGCCCAAAATAACTGTGAACATTATAGGTTGACAAGTATACATGCATAGTTACATCATGGGCTCAATTAGAGTTAAAAGCCCATGGTTACATGTAGGTAATTGGTGTATACAGTTTAAAAATTAATGTTTTATTTCATTTTTGTTTGTGCCGTAAAGAAGAAACTCCAGCACATTGTCAAAATCAAGGACACTACAAAATCTTCAGTACATAATATATTGCTCGTATAAATACAATTTCAATTAAGTTCTAAAACATGATCAGCCAATCGTTGGGTCTTTTACGCACTAATGCAGTACGATAACTTGTTTATAACAATTACAGTATTTACAATTGCTTCCTAGCCTCACATAAATTATCAATATCAGAAGTAAACAGTTTTGCATGATCGCAACCCATCTGTAAGGCAGCCATCAAGCAGCTGCTGTCACAAACTGTTTGATTGGAGATCTTGATTTCTGATGACATTTCCTCCTATAATAATACATTCAATTTCTTCATTCCCGTCTATTTCAATCAATAATTCGATTTTAAGCTCATATTTGATTATTATATAATGGAAAAATACTGACTCATTAAAAGTCAATATCATGTCAGATTGAACCAAATGTTATGAGAAACGAACAAATGATTTCATTCCTTGACTGAACCCCAGGATCTTGGTGACATGTCCACTATACACCAACGAGATGTGACTAATATTGCATGCTTAGTATGATAAAAGTAAAAATGCTCAGAACATAGCAGTTGATGATATCTTATCAATTGAAGTTTGGGCCATTTTATATTACTATTCATCAAAATTAATTCATAGTTGACTTTATTTGTCAGTGAGACTTGTACCCCCCCCCCTGCAACCAGCACCACTCCCACTAAAGGTAAAAATAAAGGTGAGAATGTGCAAAGGAAATTATAGAGCACCTTGAGATAGTGGCCACCAATAGAAACAGACCTGGTCGAAAAGATAAACCTCTTCTTAATGATCAAACTTAAATTGTTAAATCTTTATGTTTTAGGTTTACCGCACGAGGAAGGGTAAACACACAGCAGTTGATGGTGTTTGTGTAGGTATCCCTCGGGGAGAGTGCTTTGGTCTTCTGGGGGTGAACGGAGCAGGGAAAACTACGATGTTCAAAATGTTGACAGGGGATGTTCCTGTAACCAAGGGAGATGCGTATCTGGATAAACACAGGTGAGGTACCAGGTGTATGCATAGTGTATGCATATCCTGTCTTATTGTATGAAGCCTATAAGTGTTATTCAGTAGGCCCCGAAGAGGAAGTCCATGACATGTCCATATTTTATACATATAATTATGTCTTCACTTCTATTTCAACATAAAGTACAAAAACATGTAGTAATTAAGAATGAACAGATCACAGAGTGATATTCAGTTTTTGACAATAGAATAATGTTATAGGTGTTGAGATAGCTTTCATTGACTGTTATTGCATTTCTTTCACCCACTTTATTAATCATTACTATCCATTCATGCAGTTAAGTATCTTTGGCAGTGCCTGTGGCCATACTTACTGAAATTGATGTTAATTTGAGAAATAACTGCTTTATCAACCAAGAAAGATGAAACTACTCAATGTTAGGTGCTGGATGGAAACTCACATAAAATATAGATTTTGCCAACTGTTTCTATTCACCATACCTCTCTGTAAATATGTCTAGTAGAGAAAGAGCTAGAGAGAAGCTGTCCGTCTGTTCTTCCGTTTGTCTGATGAATGAATTTTCAATAATTTGGCTAGCCACTCAATTTAAAATGCCTGCTTTTTGCGAAAAATGTAATCTTTGATAACTCAAATACCAGTTTTGGTTTAAATTTTATATGCCAATGCCATATGGATATAGAAATCTGAAATAGATAGAAATATAAAAATTTTATATGCTGATGCATTCTGAGCATAGGACTCTGGTCAAGAAGAAATGCTGAATTCAGAATGGCTGACATTTCTCATGAAAATTATGATTTTTCTGATAACACATGAAATACCAGTTCCAATTTTATATAAAACACGAATGCCTAATGGTCAAATGGTCAAGAAAGAATTTAATATATGGTGTCACGTCACATCATGGATGTCGATTTTTCCAAAAGGAGACAAAATCCAGTGTGATTCACTACTCCACGGAGTAACTAGTAACTAATAACAAATGTTTCTCATATTTACTCTCATGTTAACCAACTGAACTGATTGCCAACACATTCTGAGAAAATCTATAATATTCACATTTGTGTCAATGACTCAATTTACAATGAAAAGGATTATCTTGGATAGTTTACAAACCAAAATAATATTTGTGCATTATGTATTGTGACCATCATGTAATGTTTAAAAGGATATTTGAAGAAACTAAATTAACTGTAGAAAAACATTGGTTCCTGTTCTTAGTAATTATGTTCAATTGATTTTTCATTTAAAACTAATGCATGTACTTTGAATTAAAAAGTAATTGGAGACATTCCAAATATTGGGTTGTCTACAGATGCCAGTTTGAATATTGAATATTGGACAAGATCTATTCAAAAGTTTCTAAGTTCATTTTTGGATTGTATAATACATAGACCTTGATATTGGATAGTTTTTTTTTTACTTAGGCATGAATAATGTCAAAATGCAATGTCTTACAAGACAACCAAGATTGCTACTTATTTATCTTCTTATTTCAATTATTCATGTACAGGGTATGTCAAAAAGTTGTTACTTTTTTGAGTCCCATCTGATTGTTACTGATTTTTTTATGCTTTCAGTATTCTAACAGAGATGACGTCAGTGCACCAAAGTCTTGGGTACTGTCCTCAATTTGACGCCCTTGACCCTTTACTAACTGGCGAAGAACATCTACAGTTTTATGCCAGACTGAGGGGCGTACCAGAGAAAGAAGTAACGACTGTAAGTCTGTGATTCTGTGATTCTAGTGCTCATTTCTCAAATGTATCGTATTTCTTTAAATTGTCAGTTCAGTAGTTTTACATTATGTGGATAAACAATTTGTTCATCTGTACGCTATTAATGGTTCTAATTGTTCCCAATTGCACCACTGTCGTGATAGGTAAAGAGAGAGACAATTTAAGCCAATTGATCTATAGTGTGCTCAGTGTAATTCCAAACTGACAATGAAGAATGGTGATGAGTACATAATGTAATATATTGCATACTCTTAATCCTATTAATAACATCATCAGATAATAAATATTGATTGCAAAATAATTTGCTAATTAATAAGTACAATATATCATTTCCAGGTAGCAAAATGGTGCATACAGAAGCTAGGGCTAAGTGCTTATGCAAATAAATGCTCTGAAGACTATTCCGGAGGGAACAAACGTAAACTGTCAACAGCGATATCTCTAGTTGGCAACCCACCTGTTGTGTTTCTCGTAAGTACATGTATGCCAAAGAAAACAGCATTTGTCCCATTTGTCCCACTGATGTGCTAATATGTTTGTCAAATGGGGTATCAGGCCCGTTGCCAGGATTTGCCAAAGGGGGCTTCACTTTTTGAAAAATTCCAGGGAGGGTTCACTTTTGACAATTTTGTTGCAAAAATGGCCAAAATCACTTTAAAAGTGCTCAGAAAGGTGAAAAACTGCATGATTTTGAAATAATTTTTTGGCCAGGGGGAGAAGTCTTCTAAACTTCTAAACTCTCTGCAATATTTGAACACAGAGTGATTTATTATAAAAACTATAAATTACTTTTTAATTACTTTAAAATTGTGAAATGACTGATGATCTTAATGCAACTCTAGAAGGTACAAATAAATTAAATTATTCAATGCAAAATTATATTAGTTGACATAGAGCAGTATGGCAGGCTATATATGTTTCTATAGTATAAATATGTAACTATATTGAGCATATTTTTATCCCATAGGATGAGCCTACAACTGGGATGGACCCTAAAGCTAGAAGGTTTCTCTGGAACTGCATCTCAAATAACATTAAACAAGGAAGATCAGTTATTCTCACTTCTCATAGGTAAACATTCATTCACTTCTCATTAGTAAATCATCCATTTATTCACTTCTCATAGGTAAACCCAGCGATTATTTAAAGCTATACAAGCCTATATATATATATATATATATATAGGTACCTTATTCTCTTCATGGTATGTTTAGCTATGCATTCACATCTCACATTAAAGCTCTGTGTACATATGTAGAGTATCACAAAGTGTTGTATATGTTTCCAGTATGGAGGAATGTGAGGCACTATGTGGGAGGATTGCCATGTAGAGTAACATAATGTGTTGTATATGTTTCCAGTATGGAGGAATGTGAGGCCCTATGTGGGAGAATAGCCATCATGGTCAATGGAAAGTTCCAATGTCTCGGCAGTGTACAACATTTAAAAAATAGGTGAGAGGCATCAGGCATGATCAGGGTGCCCTCCTGATTTTTGCATTAGATTTGACTTGGTAAAGCGTGCCATATTTAGCTCTTGGAATCCTAAGATACACCATAGTAATTAGAGCTAAGTGTAAAATCTTTTGGATGGCAAAATGAAATTACATGTATACTTAAATTAGAATGAAATCTATAAATAAGTTGGTAACTTTCTAGACTGAAATGAGGCCTCAAAGACTGTGTAAACTGGCGAAATAATTTTTTTAATGTTTTATTGATAATATATTCAATTTTTGTCTTAACTCAACTTCCCTAACTGATGAATAAGTTGGGGGAGACAACACCTGTTTGATGGAGAATTTACTCCCTAAATGAATAAAATATTTAATGATACTATATGTACTTGTTCCGATCAATCTAATTAAATAGCGCTTTCACCCAATTTATAGCAGCCTAGATTTCACCCAACATTTCTGATGTATTTCAGGTTTGGTGAGGGGTATACCATCATATTAAGAGTATCTGGCTCCAATCCAATTCTAACTCCTCTAATAAAGAGATTAGAGCAACATTTCCCCGATGCTCTCCTGAAGGAGAAGCACCACAACATGCTGCAATATCAATTGGGGGAGAAAGGCGACTCACTTGCAAATATATTCTCAACCATGGAGAATCTTAGAGTAGAGTTTAACATTGAAGACTATAGTGTTAGTCAAACTACATTGGACCAGGTAAGTGGTTGTTAAATACAGGGTGCACCTTTGAAATACAGGGTGTCCCTTTGTAATACAGGGTGTCCCTTGATGATACAGGCTATACTTTTGTAATATAAGGTGTCCCTTGGTAATACAGGGTGTTCCTTGGTAAAAGGGATTAACCTTTTTAGAACAATGGTGTCCATTTGTAATACAGGGTGTCCCTTTGTAATACAATGTGACTGTATCCTTACTTTTGTAATGCAGGGTTTCACATTCTGTTATAATGTGCATATTTTTATGTGCGTTAGTGAATTTCAACGAATAAGTTGCAAATAAAAAGGTTGAAATTTTTTTTTTATATACATAACAGCTGTAGGTAGATCAGCTACACACAGAGCTATCACACAGATACATCCTTTATAAAAGTTGAATAATGAATGTTTTTCCAGGTCTTTATAAACTTCGCCAAGAAGCAGTCTGACTTACTGGATGATGAACTAGCTGCCCAAGCAGCAGTAGGTGGAGAGTCAGAATCTCAGAGTAATCAAAACAAATCTGGTAAGTTACTTTGTTATTATTGAACTTCCTAATGTATAGTGATAACCATGCTGCTGTAGTAAATTGCAGAGATCAAATGTGTAAAACAACAACTTAACAGGAATGTAGTTTTGGGGGATTTGACAAAATTGGTACCAGTACTAATAGGGGCTCATATGGTAGCCAAAGGTGGGCCCGTCAGTGAGCAAATTTGAACCACATTATTTATCTCGGGAAACATGTCAGATTTAATGATTTGGAACTTTGACGCCCAAAAAGTGACCATTATGGATAGCTTTTCTAGGTTTTATACCCCCCGAGGTTATTTTCGAGGGGGTCTCAACTCTTTCTTAATAACTTTAAAAATATTAAAGAAATGTGTCTGAAACTTGCAGGGTACCTTCCTGGGGTCAACACATAGCTGTATTGAAAGTTTAGGATTATTTGAAATAATGGTTGCTATAGCAACCAAGAAAATGTGTTTCCAAACTGGCAATTTACAGCAATTTTGGCCTGTAGCAACCTGGTTGAAGTTAGATATTTTTTCTATTGATGAATTTTCACATTGTTAATTGGTTTCAAAAACACACTACAACTGTATTCTTTCATTTTATTGCAGATTAGAATTGACACCATGAGTATTAAAGGTCCATAATCATACATGAATGAACCCATCCCCCAAATTCTATAAAAAGTGGGCGTGGCACCAGACATGTACCAGTTTGTAATTCATAAGTTTAAACACCCAATAAATAATGTTAATATTTATGTTACCATGTTTCCAGTGGTAGTTGAAGAAGTTCTTTTAAAAAACTAGATATATTACCATGGAAACCATATATTTATGTTGCCATAGCAACAGAACTTTGGTAATGAAATAGCCAATAATTTGATCGAAGCCCTCATGCATGTGGTTCCATATATACAAAAATCAAATGTCCTGTATCTCTCAAAGATCTTAAAACCTTCCTGGGGTCAACACAGAGCTGTATTGAAACTTTGGGGTTATTTGGAGTAATGGTTGCTATAGCAACCAAGAAAATGTGTTTCCGAGCTGGACAATTTATGGCAATTTGGCCCCACTGCAACTTGGTTGGAGTTTGATATTTTTTCTAGTGATGAATTTTCACATTGATAATTGGTTTCTAAAACACTTCTGTATTCTTTCATTTTATTGCAGATTAGAATGACACCATTAGTATGAAAGGTCCATAATCATACATGAATGAACCCCCCCCCCTGTCTATAAGAAGTGGGTGTGGCACCAGACATGTACCACTTTGTAATTCATGAGTATAAAAACCCAATAAATAATGTTGATATTTATGTTACCATGTTTCCAGTGGTAGTTGAAGAAGTTCTCCTAAAAATATAATCATATAATAAATATATATATATCATGGAAACCATACATTTATGTTGCCATAGAAACAACTTTGGTCTGTTAACGCAAGGCTTAATGAAATTATTGTTCATTTGGCAGAATATATATCCTAGTAGTTTACACTCTTTGTAGTTCACATTTGTATGAGCTACTATTATAGTATATCTGACACATCTCTATTCTATAGTGATACTTTTACATTTGCTTGCAGAACGTGATATGTGATAGGCCCCAGAGTGATGGCACTCAGAAGACTGCATATGATATCAAATAAAGCTTGAAAAACAGATAAGTAATACAGCATACTATGACTCTGTCATTTAAACAACAGATGAAGCTGTAAAGTTCTTAAACCAGTCTATTTCAGTTCTCCTCAGTCCTTTGTGAAACTTCACCTATATAATTTTGAAGCTCATATGTGGGTTCTGATTCTTCTGGATCTGTCATAGCTGGCCTCATCACATCAACAAGATCTTGTCGTAATATGTTTGATGTGCACCAGTCTAGTTCTAGTACACAAGATAAATTATTTTTCAACCCATTCCCTCTGGGAGATGAGAGTTCAGGCTTGAGTTGCACACAAACTCTTCAATTACAGCCTGTGTTCCAGTTGTAATATTTGTAGATGACCCAATACATTAATTGAATGCATCTTGGTATTTCTGGCTATTTCATAGCAGAGTTGGAGGCCTGGTTTTTCCTCGTTGAACAAATGCACTAACACAATAACAACCTGTGAGAATGGTGTATCATCAAGACTAGAAAATCTGTGTCTGGGGAATGTACAATAATGTTCTTTGACTGATCAAAACGTCTTCACATGTATTCATCTTGGTGTTTGCTTCTTCTTGTGTTGACAGTAGATTGTTATCAACATATATTTTATTGAATCTATGTATTTGATAGCTGTCAGTTAAGAAATCTACCCTCTCTGACTTCAGTGGTAGCATGTCAAACACTTGCTCTGCCAGTTCTTCAAATGTGGATAGACGCTGCACTAAGCTGTGATAGATAGCATTACCATCATATATGTAGAATGATTCATCTTTTGCTGGTCTTGAAGGATAATGTTGGAGATTCTCAAGAGTATTTGGGAGTGTTGCTTTTGCTGCCTTCGCTGGCAGACCATCAGGAGACCCTAGCGCCCATGGCACTGGACTAAGCGGATACTCTAAAACTTTCTTGTTCTCTTGAGATATAAGAACTAACTGTCAAAAAATATTCCTCTAAACTTGTTGTCAGATGTTTTCAGGATGTCCTTCTCGATTGTCACAAATGTCTTCACCTTTATTCTTTTCACTGGATCTTGAAAACTTTTGGTGTCACTCACAAGTCTTTATTCAAATTCCACCTTGCCTCTAGACCTGACATGCAGTAGGTCCTGATGATAGACAGTAGAGTTGATCATAGCATCTGTCTCAAAGGGGTCTAAAAAGTTACCTATTGCGGCCCTTGCTTTTGAAACACCTTCAGAGCCTGCTATGTTTACACAGTAGTAGGCATTTGAATTGGTGATAAATCCAATTACCCACACCCTAAGATTTCGCACTCTGATTGATAGTCTGTTCAGTGGTTTGATCAACTGGCAAATGTAGTGCAGGTACTTGGGACCTGTTAACACTAAACCCAAGGTCTCTCAATAGCCTTTCTTTCTCTTGGTTTGTATGCTTGAGGTTAGCAAGCATGACATATTGTGCTGTTAGATATATAGCATAGTTGGACTGGTCCATTGCGAAGAATAGTGGACATAGGTCTTGTTGTAGACACTAGACAGAGTAAGTGGAGGTCAAAATCATTCTCTGCTAGCTTGGATGAATCGTGATATTACATGACAATAACCTCTTGTGAGAGCATGGGGATTGGTAGCTGGCTGATAAACTTGTCTAACAAATTCCTTTGTAGCAACTCCAGGAAGATTTTGGGCACTCTGATTGATCTATTATAATGGTTTCCAGTTAGCACACCTTCAAGAGATCCACTAGCATATATGCCAGCTTCAATGATGATCTCAGAGAAACCTTGAAACCAAAACCAATGAATCAATAGCCAGAAATACCAAGATGCATTCAATTAATGTATTGGGTCATCTACAAATATTACAACTGAAACACAGGCTGTAATTGAAGAGTTTGTGTGCAACACAAGCCTGAACTCTCATCTCCCAGAGGCATTGGGTTGAAAAATAATTTATCTTGTGTACTAGAACTAGACTGGTGCACATCAAATATATTACGACAAGATCTTGTTGATGTGATGAAGCCAGCTATGACAGATCCGGAAGAGTCAGAACCCACATAGGAGCTTCAAAATTATATGGGTGAAGTTTCACAAAGGACTGAGGAGAAATGAAATAGACTGGTTTAAGAATTTTGCAGCTTCATCTGTTGGTTAAATGACAGGGTCATAGTATGCTGTACTACTTATCTCTTTTTCAAGCTTCATTTGATATCATATGCAGTCTTCTGAGTGCCATCACTCTGGGGCCTATCACATATCACTTTCTGCAAGCAAATGTAAAAGTATCACTATAGAATAGAGATGTGTCAGATATACTAGATTATCCTACACTTAGTGTACTAAATGTATAATAACATGAAAAAATAAATTTGATATTTATTGGCAAAATGAATATCCGGAGGATATCGTTACGATATACTCCGGGCGGAGGATATCGTGACGATATACTCCGGAAAACCCAATATGCAGAGGATATTGTGACGATATACTCCGCTTGTTAATTTCCCGCCAAATTGACTCTATTTGGCATGAAATTCATTTTACAATGATATTATACATTCAGTACACTCCTTGTAAGTGTAGGATAATAAGAACATCCTATGATTTTTTTCAGAATATCATTTTAATCTACTCAGCGATATTGATATATGCACTCATTCGCTTCGCTCTCTCGTGCAGATATCAATATCACCTCGTAGATAAAAATGATATTCCTCAAAATCATAGGATACCCTATAAATAGTAGCTCATACAAATATGAACTACAAAGAATGTAAACTACTAGGATATATATTCAGCCAATACAGTTTACTCATACATTTGTTGTTTTCTCTAAATGGCCAAATGAATAGTCAAATGAACAATAATTTCATTAAGCCTTACGTTAACAGACCAAAGTTGTTTCTATGGCAACATAAATGTATGGTTTCCATGATAATATATTTATATATGATATTATATATATATATATTTATTATATCATTATATTTTTAGGAGAACTTCTTCAACTACCACTGGTAACATAAATATCAACATTATTTATTGGTTTTTTATACTCATGAATTACAATGTGGTACAAGTCTGGTGCCACACCCACTTCTTATAGACGGGGGGGGGGGGGGTGGTGGGTTCATTCATGTATGATTATGGACCTTTCATACTAATGGTGTCATTCTAATCTGCAATAAAATGAAAGAATACAGTTGTAGTGTGTTTTAGAAACCAATTATCAATGTGAAAATTCATCACTAGAAAAAATATCAAACTCCAACCAAGTTGCAGTGGGGCAAAATTGCCATAAATTCTCCAGCTCGGAAACACAGTTTCTTGGTTGCTATAGCAACCATTACTCCAAATAATCCCAAAGTTTCAATACAGCTCTGTGTTGACCCCAGGAAGGTTTTGAGATCTTTGAGAGATACAGGACATTTGATTTTTGTATATATGGAACCACATGCATGAAGGCTTCGATCAAATTATTGGCTATTTCATTACCATAGTTCTGTTGCTATGGCAACATAAATATATGGTTTCCATGGCAATATATCTAGTTTTTTAAAAGAACTTCTTCGACTACCACTGGAAACATGGTAACATAAATATCAACATTATTTATTGGGTGTTTAAACTTATGAATTACAAACTGGTACATGTCTGGTGCCACGCCCACTTTTTATAGACTTTGGGGGGTGGTTCATTCATGTATGATTATGGACCTTTAATACTAATGGTGTCAATTCTAATCTGCAATAAAATGAAAGAATACAGTTGTAGTGTGTTTTTGAAACCAATTAACAATGTGAAAATTCATCAATAGAAAAAATAGCTAACTTCAACCAGGTTGCTACAGGCCAAAATTGCTGTAAATTGCCAGTTCGGAAACACATTTTCTTGGTTGCTATAGCAACCATTATTTCAAATAATCCTAAACTTTCAATACAGCTATGTGTTGACCCCAGGAAGGTACCCTGCAAGTTTCAGACACATATCTTTAATATTTTTAAAGTTATTAAGAAAGAGTTGAGACCCCCTCGAAAATAACATCGGGGGGTATAAAACCTAGAAAAGCTATCCATAATGGTCGCTTTTTGGGCGTCAAAGTTCCAAATCATTAAATCTGACATGTTTCCCGAGATAAATAATGTGGTTCAAATTTGCTCACTGACGGGCCCACCTTTGGCTACCATATGAGCCCCTATAAGCTCCCCAAAAGAATCCTGGTATATCTTATCTGATCTGATATTTTTTTTTCTTTTTATATTTAGTGTTTAGCTTCACTTTGGGACTTGGGAAATTTTCACATTTCTCTTTTCTTCTTTCGCAACTAACACTGGATAAACTTTGGTTCTTGCAACTAGTTTGGGTATATTAGTAGAAGCCTTTCTTAAATCAAATGCAAATGTTAAATCAAAAAGCTCAATTAAAATACTGTGTTTTATTCCTGTATAGCGCAGTCAACATTTTCACGATTCTGTCGGTCATTTAAAGTCAAATGTAAGTTTTTCAAATTCAAGATTTAGATATGCATGAGTGAAATTTTCCCTCTAGTTTTTTTTTATTGATGGTATGCTTGATGATATGAACAAAAGAGGTTTCTTAGTCCCCAGTTAAGTTTGTTCCCATTAATTAAGCTTCACATATTTATTCACAGTTGAAAATGAATCCTTGGGAAACATTTTTTGATCAGATAGACCTCTTTAGTTTTAGTTTGACCTGTTCTTTCAATCCAACGCTACTAATATATGAGTTGATTTAAATAGGCTAATGAAAAGCTTTTTGCTCGGGACTTGATTTCAAGATTAACATCTCTAATTTGCTAAACCTTCTAATAAAATAAAAAGCGACTAAAGATTCTCTTCTTGACATCTATTTCCACTCATCTTTCTTAAGAATGCCCATAAATGCCTATTCCCATGGCCAAGAGCTTTCATCAAGACAGAGAAATGTGTTTTATTTGTTCTCATAACATTCACTTAAAAACCAGGAAGTCAATCGGAGAATCTTTGGCAGCATAAAGTGTTATTTTGGCGAATCAGACATTGACAGTAAATGCTCATGGGCTGTAATACTACGCTTCCCATCTCTCCCTATATATTTAGACTGAATCCATCTTGACATAGAAATATGAATAATTAGAAAGATGGAGGAAAGATAGAGGAAAGGTCTGATGTAAGACAACTTTGAGGTATTGAATGAAGTATTCACTCATTTTGATTGATCTTTTGGACAAATATTTTTATCTGACAAAAACATGTGCACTTTATAATAAGTATGTACACACGTCCCAGTTTCACCCTTAAGTTCCATGGAAAACCTTTATATTACAAAAGACTTGTACTTGTTCATTGACTTCTGTTGGAAATTGTAAAATCATTTAATTTGGCATGAGTGTCCAAAATGTGAAGGCTTCATTTATACCACAAGTTGAGGATGGGTCATAATGCCTGATTGATTAAACAACTAACATTGCTGGTTCAATCTACTTTTTTCTGCACCCTCTCGGGCATGCCATCCAGAAGACGCATCAGTCAGGGTGAGGTACGGATCTATCAAGGAATCTAATACCGATGACTCACAGGTATTAAATGGATTCTATTTACTGTTACAGCTTTGCTCTAAGTATAAAATTATTCTGCATTTTGGCACCTATTTCACGGCTTTTAGCTTGGCACTTCTTAAAACCAAATACTGTACTTCTACTTCATTTGGCAGCTGTCTTAATTTGCCAGATACACCAAATCCTCAAAGTCCGCCAAATTAAGTAGCTACCAAATCCCCTTGTAATTTTAGTTACATGTAAATTAGTACCATTAGTGCATTGCAATATTACAGTATATTGCGCCAAATCTTCACAACATCAAATCTGCCGAAATAAGTTGCACCAAATTAAGTAGATGTACAGAAATAGGCTAGCTGCATGTGTCTTTTGGACAAATTGTTTATGGAGTACCTTTTACCTTGGAGATATTTTATCTGTGTAATATACTGTAGTTTGCTAGTTTCTCATAATGAAGTCCCAAAGATAACTCTCTTTGGCATTATATAATGTGCAATTATGTACCTTTTCAACAAGTTCTGAATTCTGACATCAATATTTGACACTCGTCTTTTTTGAAAAATAAATATCTTTTCATTTCGTTTCATCTTTCATGGCAAAGATGTTTTTCAAATTGATAGGAATTTCTTTTTCTATGTGCAGTACATTGTTTATCACTAAAATTGGAATCAATGTCATTATTCAAATGAATAACCAGTGGGTGTACCTTCAAAATGAAACTGGATGGGTTTTCATTTCAAAGGAAACATACCTGGAATTAAGCCTAACTATGCACTTAATATCTGAGGCGTAATTACTAATTGTAAGGCATAGTCTTGTGTTGCCCACGGGACACAAATTAAATTATTTCTCACTAGAATTACCAGTTTTTGTGTCAATATATGCTACAATTACCAGTTGTTGTGTCAATATGTGCTATAATTACCAGTTGTTTTGTCAATATGTACTACAATTACCAGTTGTTGTGTCAATATATGCTACAATTACCAGTTGTTGTGTCAATATGTACTAGAATTACTACATGCCACATTGTAGATGTACACACAGATGTAGAAGTTGATATGGCAATACACATACAATTCACATGTTGTACAATTGTATATTCCCACAGACCCACTTTGACTCACTACACTACACTCTTATCTTTTAGGAGTACAATTTAGTCAAATAAGATGTCTGTGCTTTAATTAAAGAAGCAATCCCTTTACCTCTGAATCCCAAATACCAAAAACTATATAAGAGATAGTGGCGTATGATACCTAAAATCTCAATTTTTGGATATGCAACATTAAAAAGTAGAGATACCTTCATACCAACAGATCTTTGGAAGAAAAACAATCATTTATGTATAATTATAGAATTTATGGATCCTAATTTATGATTATATATTTATTATTATATAACTGTAGACTGTAACTGATACGTCATTCTGAGCAATACCTGTAAAGTAAGACCTGTCTAAGTGGAATGGAACAGATTTGGTACCTCTAAAAGTGTTTCACTTGGGAGATGTTCCATTTATAGAGGTTCATTTAACATTAATCAGTTGGTCTTGGGACTCTGAAAAGTATACCACTAATAGAGAGGTGTTCCATTTCTAGAGATTTTTCGCTTTTACATATTTCCCTGTACATGCCTGCAAATGACTACTATATAAAGATATCCTTTAACATGCATTTCTATTAAATATTATGTACTATATTATTTGCAGACCTGACCAGTGGAGTTCACTATGACAATGTACAGGAAACTGATCATGAGCCTAGTCTCTATGGCAGCCAGGTTGACTTGTTGCCAGGCAACTCACATGCCAATCCAGCCAATCAACAAACTCTTTCCTTTGCATAGAATATAATGGTGAATGAGTACATGATATTGAATTAGGATATACAACGATGTTAAATGATATATGTGTACGATCTTTATTGATGTACAACAATTTTATGTAAGAATACACAATGAGAAATATACTACGCTATGTGAGGTGCGTGCATTCAAAAACAGGACTCAGTGTGTACCACTGTAGGGAACAATATTGACGTGGCTGAATAATACTTCATCCATTTCACCTTCTTTCATGCAGGAGCAGCGAAAACTTATGTGGTGGCGTCAGCATTCTGTCTCAACATGAGGATTAATGTTCTATAAACACAGTGGAATATTGCACCAGCAATAAAGCAAGTGAGCACAGCACCCATTTGAGATATTGAAAACAGGCTTGCATCCACCCAAGAAATCATTTGCACCCACTTGAAAATGAGAAAAATGGGCATTAAGGCCTATTTGACCAATTTTGGCCTGAACTGTGAAAATGAGAATTTTGCACACACTTGTGGAGAACACAGAAACATATGCAGCATTGTGAGATATGACTTATCAGGTTAGAGTAGATTCAACTGAATACCATACACTGTATGTAATAATTCAATGGTGCCAGATAAATGGACTATAGCAACCCTTGATATCAAAAAGCTTAACAACTCAGGCTTAGTGCTTTGCTAGTCTCTAAAATATTTTAAAACTGAAATTGATTTTGGTTTATGAGTGTATGAAGCAAAATGGTGAGTGTTAAACAACCCAATACATCTGAAAGGAGTCTTCAGATTACAGGGTTATGTACTGGGAGGTTTTCGATACAGGGTTTATCCCAAGGGAAATATATGTATCCCCCAAGAGAGTGCAAGGACCTTGGTGATAGTTCCCTAAATACATCATATATTTCCACTCGTTATGTACTGAGAACCTCCTCAGTAAGGATGGAATACATGCATTTATGTAGAAATTGAAACAAATTACAAATAAATGATTGAATGCATCGCAATGAAAGCAGTATTTTGTCGATCATAATCATCGTTATAGTTTCTGAAAACAAAATTAGTGAACTGCCTGCTTGATTTAACACTTTAACTTCTGCCTCTAATCGTAGTCACATTTTGACCAGGATGTTAATTGTTATATGATGTATATGAGTAATATGTAAAAAAAATTAAGTATATGTCCTTTTGCTAGGAATATATATGTTGTGGAAGAAAGACACGTAAATATGAAACCTTGCCATAACTACCTGCATAAATGATGTAAAATCTGTGATAAACTAAAACTGACTATTGTAATTTTTAAGAACTGATTCAAAAGTGGTATTTTAGATTTAAAAAACTATACTGTGACATTTCTTAATTTGGATTTATCCCAGTGCTTAATTGTTATTTATACATGAACTGTTAATTGTTATAATTACTTAACTTGAAAAAACAGTCAGTTTATAAAACATTTGTTATTTTATTGATGATGTTGGCGTATATTTTGGATCTGTTGAAATTTTAGAGATCTGTGTAAAATGTTTTGTGATTACATAGTACTATGTATTGTACTTGATATAACAGATTTAGGACTTGCAGTACTGTATGATAGATAATATATGATTTTAGAACATTCATTAATGGTTCCATGTCTTGTATATGGATTGGAGTGATATCATGTTTTATAATAATCAAGTGAGAGTAGGGAAACTGAGTGCTGAAGTTGCAAAAAACATGTTTTACATGTATTCGAGATCTGCATGTAACTGTGCGACTGGCTTCGTGCACTTAATAAAATTACTGGAAAGTGGAAGTTGGACACCTCCTGATTTTTTGTGATATAATTTATTGAGCTTTCACCTGATTAACTATTGTCAAATCCATGGCCTTTCATCAAAGCCATGATAAGATCATATCACTTAAAAAACAAATGCATATTTTCTAAAAAATGCAGTGTTTCATTTTATGATAATTTATTGTAAATATTAGATATTTCTATACTTTTACAGATATTTATATGGCTTGAATATTTATATTTCTTTTCTTACCTTTTAGTAGTAAGTAGAAACACAATTTAATAAAAGGTCTTATATTTATTTAGCATTCCAATTGTTCTTATTTGTATGTATAATTGTTTTCAAAGTTTCTGTTACATGATGTCACATTGAGAAGTCACGACAATTAAACTGAGATAAACATTTTATGTACATTTACAAAAAGCATTTAAGATCATTGTGTACTTCGATGAATTTTCATGGCCATGTGCTACCTGTATTTTCAGATAAACATAACTCATTCTACACATCATCTGATCATCTTCTACACATCATCTGATCATCTTCTACACATCATCTGATCATCTTCTACACATCATCTGATCATCTACATCTTTCATTTTTGCACAAAAGGTGCATTAGTGTACCTAGGTTATTGATTGAGGGTTGATAATTCTTTAGATTGTATGAATAACTTGAATATTCAGTGGTCTTCTTTTCAAAATTGCAAAAAAATTCAAAGTACACACTGACCTTGAACTGATGTTGTATGGCTCCATTTAACAGCAAAGCTGTGTAGGGTTCCATTGGCATAATGTATGCACTTTGAATGGATTTTGATTATAAATTCTTTATCTAAAATGTTGGTTTACTTGATGTAATAAAATGTTCAATTTACCAAATGGAGACTAAAAGAAAAGGGTGAGGCTGTTGAGGCAAATAAATCAAATAGAAATATACTGCCATTGACTTCTTTTTCAATAAAAACATTGAATGAATTGTATTTCTGTTTGAAACTTGCATGGTGAGGCAGGTATACCTCTACCGTATCATGCCTGACTTAGAGTATGTGTATGAATAGTTCTTGCCCTACCTACTTCAGAGGCTGGACTGATCCGATTATTCCAGCCTTTGAAATAGGTAACTCTAACCTAGATTGTTACTGCTAGAATTCAGAGAAGTAACTAAAGCAACATACATTAGCAATTTACTAATCACAGGACAGTTCTTACTATAAAATATACAACTGTATTACATGTATTTGTATATTTTTGGAATTTCTATTTTGTTAAACAGTTTGAGTGATGAAGTCATTCTTATACCTAAAAAAATAAATTATTCTTTAGCACATGTTTAAAAAATATTTAGTTTGTTTTATTGTTATAATTTTTAAAAGTGACATAATTTTAAGCAAAAGATAATTGCAATTTTATCATTGCTACAAAAAGCCTCAACATTAGATAGATAATCAGAAAGTAACAGAAGTTCCATATGACCTTAAACTATACTTCTGACCTTGACCTTGGCCACTTGCACAATCCGAGTAGGTGGGTTGTTCTTCCTGTCCTAATTTAACCTTAGAGCTTTTTACAGTGCATTTGATGTAGAAAATTAATTTTTCTAAAGGACACCCCAGTTATATGTTTCAATTGTTAGGTCTCAAATTATATTATATTCCCGTTCGATTTAATGTTAACAGTTATCTACTTCAAGTGCTGGACCATGGAGCTTTTACCGGGATCACCTCATTATACCGACGTGCATTATACCAAAACCCATTAAACCGACGCGCATTGTGTCGAAAACCAACATAGGCCTACCGATGCGCGTTTTACCGAAATCCGTGCCAGTGGGATGGCACATTGCCTGAACCCATCAATTTTATGACGTGCACTTCCGCGTGGGACTATATCTTTACAGCGAGAATTTCAAGCTTTTGTCAGTGTAGACATAAAAAGTTGCGGTCCGTCATACTCGCGCTTTTTTCAATATTTTAATTTGAAACTCGCAAGAACGGTGCTTTGAATCTAGCTCTATACTCTTTTAAAACGTCATGTAGACACATGATTATGTACATGTATGATAGTGCACAGTAACATTATATAGGCATAGAATAATAAAAGTGGAGCCTGAAAAGTCAAATATGGTGCTATATTGAAAAGCCAAGAGAAATATTACTGTATCAGCATATAAAATAGTTAGCTTATATATTACTTTATCATACACCATGGCTCAAAGTATACATGATTTTTTCATTGAACAGACAAGTCTTGAAAATTAAAAATATTTTAACTTTAAACTTTTTAATCTGAGACTGGATGTTAATCTGTTTTTTATATATTCATATTCAATTAAAAGTTTATCGCGCAAAGACACATTTTCAGATAAAGTTTAATTTAAAATCTTTGAACATCTTTACATCTCAGTTGCGGCCAGTAATTTTTTAACTGATGCTAGGCGTCTCGGATTGAGGGGTCGTCTAAAGAAACTTAATTCCAGTTAACCATCAATTCCTGTATGTCATAGAGGATAAAGTCATAATTCTGTTATTTATGTTTGATTATAGTCTGATAGTAAACCCTGTACTTAATAAAATATATTTAACTGTGGTAAATTCTGTATTCAATGAAGTAAATATTTATTTATACTGTTTTGTTTCATTGGTAGAAATAAATAATTGTGCTATTAAATATAAAGTTTCACATTTCTTATTGGACTTGATAATTACTGTATTTTCCATCTTGTGCTGATGGGGCCAAAAATTGTTGTCATGGAGAGACACGCGGTACTAACTTCGACCGTTAATTTGAATTTTTGACCTACCGGATGTTCGAAAATCAAGGATTACGAGTCTCGTACTGCACCGTTTTTCTTCAAACTTGTTCCATTCAAAGCATATCAAAAATCCCTTTCTGTTGGTACATTATTCTCTTAAACAGAGTCCCTACTTCCAGCGGCATTTTGGGCCCCAGCTGTAAGAAGGCCTTCTAACCGCTGGGGACCAAAACGCTGCTAGAACGAGGGACTTTTTACAATAAAGTTATGCACCGACAGAAAGGCAATTTTGTTTTGCTTTTAATGGTATAAGTTTGAAAAACGGTGCAGTATGAGACTCGCAATCCTTGATTTTCGAGCATCTGGTAGGTGAAAAATTCAAATTAACGGTCGAAGTTAGGACCGCGTGAGAGAGAGAGCAAGATATGTTGTCATGGAGATAGTAAGAAACGCATTCATTTGTTTTACTTAAAATCTTTCCAAATCCAAGTGTGACTTTTATCAATGTGTGCCTCAATGATCCCATTAATTCTGAAGTGCTTTCATTTTTTAACCATTTCACTTACATTTTTTTCATATAATACTTCTAAATTGGCATCATTTCCATGTTTAAATTGCTTCAGTTTTTGGCTACTGATATTATCTCTATCATCAGTTTTCATTCCACAAACGAAACATCAATTATTTTGCCCAATATTTCATTTTCATCACTTAGAAACATTGATTACATGTTTTAATTGGCAGTTTAAAATGGTGCTCATTAACTATAAGCCCAATATTCAGCGTCCCTTTAATATCTATTTA